TAATTGACCTCCACCAACTTCAACACATTTTTCAATATTAGATAAAAAGTGGTTCATTACACGGCGTAGCAAACCTTCGTCTATTCCTTCAACTTCTTCACGAATTTTGACTTTGAGTTCCTCGATTGTACCTGGACGACTCGCAAACACTTTGGCTTTTAAATATCCCCACAGGAAAAAATCGGGTGCCGTTAAGTCGGGGGACCTCGAAGGCCAAGGCAAATCTCCGAATCGAGAAATGAGTCGACCATTAAACATTTCTCGCAGAACCCTCATTGAGTTTCTGGCGGTATGAGCTGTTGCCCCATCTTGTTGGAATAGTAAGGGATTGTTTAGTAATCCTCGTCTATTTAATTCTGGAATGAGGAATGTCTCTAGCATGTTTACGTAGCGCTCGGATGTTACTGTTACAGCGCGGTTATTTTCATCCTCAAAAAAATATGGACCAATAATACCAAAAGATCCTACTCCACACCACACAATAACTTTTGGATTATGGAGGTTCTGTGTAAAGATTTCACGAGGATTTTCATTTGACCAGTATCTAAAATTCTGTTTATTAACCATGCCGTTCAAATAAAAATTTGCTTCGTCGCTCATTAGGAGATTGTGAATTGCTCCTTGATGTAAATCCAAAAATTCTTGACAAAATGCTAACCTTGCTTCTTTATCTTGATTGCTAAGGTGCTGTGCCATTTGGTACTTATAGGGATGAAATTTTAAATCCTTTCGAATAATTCGATCTAAGCTTCCCTTTGATATTCCTAGGATAAGGCTTTGTCGATTAGCAGACCTTTTAGGACTTCTTGTAAACGCAATTCTAACTCGTTCAATATTTTCTGGTGTACGAATTGTTCTTCGACGTCCAGGCTTCTTCAAATCTTGTACAGAACCATTTTCACGCCAATGACGAACCCATAACTTAACAGTTTTACGATTTGGCGTGTGACCCCTATTGTTGTTATTAAACTGACGCCGGAATGCACGCCTAACTTCTTCTATCGAATTGCTTCTAATGTAAGTTTCTACACAAAACACACGTTGTTGGACTGAGTAATCCATGAAAGTTCAAACAGATGTTGAAAAAAAATGACGAAACTAAAAATAATATCGAATATTATCTCGATAATAATAATTAATAATTTAAAACTTATTTGTGACAGGCGACTACTTGATTAATAATTAACTTAAATCCCAAAGACTACAGAAGATATTCCCACAGAGAAAAACTTATTTAGTTATCTCATAGGGAATTTATTAATAAAATAAAATGGGTAGTCTATTATGGGGAACCCTGTATAAGAAAAATAACATTTTGTAGATCTTATCTTTTTTATAGTGTACAGGTATGGGCAGAAGTAAAACAAGGTATGCAATAAAACTTATCGCACTGAACACACTTATAACGAGACGGAGTACCTTTGAAGTAGCATACTTTCTGCCATGCAGTTCAGATAAGTTTTTGTAACAAACCACACATCTACGACGATTACTTGTGCCTACTTCTTCAATAAAATGTCTTTCCGTTGTAGTCGTTGATAGCTACTGGCTTTTGTTTTTCAGATCCACTTCGAGATTTTACTAAAACCATATTATTTGTACGCTTTGTTGTCAACATCAAAATTTCACGTTTATCACACCATTTTATTATTACTACTCCAGAGTCACTTTCCTTGGCAATACTTTCTCCCTTTTTGAGTTTTTTACTTACAATTTCTTTCGGATTTCCTTTTCTGTTTCTTCTTAGGGTTCCTACTAGATGAGTTTGTCTATCTAATAACTTATGTGCAAGTTCAAGGCTTGTATAGTAATTATCTACATATATTGTACGCCCACTATCCAATAAATTTTTCCATCACAATAGACGTGGGCACACTTCCAGAAGCACTTTTTTTTTCTGTTCCGCAATAAATTTTGAAGTCATAAGTATAGCCTTCCTCAATACAAACTTTAAAAATTTTTACGCCAAATTTGTGTCTTTTGTTTTTTATAAACTGTAAAAAAACGAGTCGTCCTCGAAATGGCACTAAAGTTTCATCCACGCACACATTACATGTGGGACGCACAGCATCTTGAAATTTTTGGCTTATGTAATCCAAAAGCGGTTTGATTTTGTAAAGTCTATCCGAAACATCCGGGTGTTCATTGTTAGAGAAATGCCAATTGCTCAAAAGAAGTTCAAATCGGTTACGAGACATTACTGATTTTATTTCATTCGAATAAAGAACATTATTTGATCAATAGCAAACCAGCTTAGGCATCTGAACTAAACCCATCCAGATTTGAAGGCCCAAAAAAATTTTCATTTCTTCAGAGTTAGTGTCTTTCCAACTTCTAATTCGAGCCTTGGGTAAAGTTAATTTTGTAGCCTTTTGAGAGGCGTATATATTTGTTTCTTGTACCGTTAGATTTAGAAGACCATCGTCAACAAATAATGAAAAAAAATCAATAGGGCTTTTGTTTTATAGATTTTGAATATCGTCATTTATCTTCAAATCTTGTGCATAACAGGAAAATTTTTCAAATGGTTTCCTGTCACTTCGTTCCACTGAAGATCATTAGGCTGTACTAGATCTTCATTAGACGAGGAATAATATTATAACTGATTAACTGGTTAAATGACGCGTGCTTTCTTGTAAAGTGTCTCTCTAAATTTAACTTCTTGTTATGCGCGAATTTCTCCTTACAAATAAGGCATGTCGGAAGTCCATTCCAGTTTTGAATAAACGCAAAATTCTCGATCCACTCAACTTTAAATTCGCGGTTTTCATCTTCCGTTTTTCTTTGCTTTTTTTTGGTAGCCATGTTAATTGGGGTGTTTTTATGCTGAGCATTATTGCTATTCGTTGCTAACATAAATATATTTCATGATACCTATAAAGCGTTTATTAAGCTTTGCATTATTGCCAAATATGACCAATTATTTTAATTATTACAGTTCGCAAAATTCTTGATATTGTATAAATTATAACTTATCTTACCTTAGTATCTTACTTTTATATTTTTTACCTTTATGAGTTAATTTTCGTATGATGTCTAAAAACAAAAGTCGAGATAAAAGTTTATAATGTATATTTAAATATTACAACTTTAGATTTGTTGACATATTCTTCATTACATTTAACAATATATGAATTTTTGACGATATATTTTTGTATTTAAAATTATAAAAAAAACGTTTCAATGAATGTATAAAATAAGCTTAATATGATTTTGATCGTAGAAGCTGGCAATTAGTGATACTAGTGGAGTAGTAATCGGTGAGAATAATACTTTTTGGGCCGGAATTTAATATGGTAGCCAGTGACAAATACACTTTGTTCTAAAAGAAAAATATTATTTTAAATTTTATAATCAATTAAAAATTATTACTAATGTAAATGAACAATCAAATAATATAATAATAAAGAAATAATAAATACTCATCAATAAAATAAGGTGTGAGGATTTCCAGATTCTATGACTTTAACAAATTTCCAAGCTCTATCGAAGCTTCATTGCCTATTATTCAGAATTAGAATTGTTTAACATTCTGGTATCAAGATCCCCTTCATCCACTACATATAATTTGATAATATGTTTGTACGATGCCATGTACTTCACACCACCACTTTCAAACGACATCGTACTTCATCAAATTATTCCTCAGTCCCTTTAAGAGATGAGGGGGATCGTACAAGATGACTATCTCCTGATCATCAGCCATATAACCAGAACCTGCATATTCCTTCCCTAGCCGTAAAAATGTGGCACGTGTTTCTTCGGTCAACATTTTTAGAGCCATGCTGTTTGTCGAGAGCTGATCACAAACAGTGGCTATGATCTTCAGACCTATACTATTGCATATTACAATAATCTCTCTTATGTTGTCTCGTAGGACAGTGGCTGACATGCTATATTCGGTGAAATAAAATGCGATGGACTGTTTGCATTTCTGCGTAATGCCTCTCACCATGGCATGGTCCGCAAATTGAGGAGATCATCCCCGGCCGCAATCCACCCAACAAAATATTTGCAAAATATATTTGCCTCAATCATGTCCAACGTGGAATCGTATGTCAAGCCAGGTTGTAACGACATTTCATCAAAGATAAGACAACAATATCTATTTTCTTGTTTCATCTTCTTCACCTCTTCTTGTAAAGCATCCATTAATTGTAGATTTATTCCTACTCCAATTGGAACCTGACTCAACAAATTCATGAGCGTCCTCCTACTCGGCAAAGCAAACAACGTTCGCAGTAAGCGGTATGCTCTTGGGCTGCTTTTGAATATTGTTAACCCAAATATTTTGTTTTGCAACGTAAAGCGTCTTTTTCGGTTGCTCTCGTAATTGACTGACAATAAAGTTGAATGTTGTGACATTCACTGTTTTTTTTAATACATTTTCGGCAATTTCTAATTTTTTTGTTTTCGTCAATTTCGATTTATCCATTTTTTTTATATCTGCCTGCTGTCCGCTTATACTTGACCGCCAGCTTGTACAGCCTCCTTGTCTCCATACTTAAATGAGCAGTTCTTATGCTGACCGGTTTTAAAAGGCAACAGTCTGGATTTCATTATGGTTATCTTGCAAATTTATGACAGTCGAAGAATATGATAAGTCTGTTAGTGATGTTATGATATGAATAATAAATGTTACAAATAGAATGTTTGTTATTATTAGATCCAAGTGTGTTATTACAGTAGTCCCTCGATTTACGCGTGGGTTAAGGGGCCTATTCACACGCGGACATGTGCGGTGGATTTGATCGGCGAACAGATCCGTTATTTAGTACATACAATGAAACAAATTCGTCGTTTAACTACACACATTGCAACAAATCCATCTTGCAGTAGCACGTGTTTCCTAGCAGTCAGGAGTGATTTTTGTAAGATATGGATTCAATTACTACAAAAAGAAATGTAGCACTGATTGGGGCTTACATTGCATTGTTTGATGAAAAAAAAAAGAAAAGGATCTGGTGTAAACGTTGGTATTTGGAAAGAACTGAAAACCAATGAGCCTAGTGATTTACATAATTTTTTTCGTATGGACAGTGAATCGTTCGAAACATTGCTGCAGTATATCCGGCCCATGATTGTACGAAAAAATACACATATTAGAGAAGCAGTAAGTGCTAGAGAGCGACTAGTTGCCACGTTACGATACCTAGCAACCGGAAGATGTATTGCAGATTTAAAGTTCAGTTGTGCTATATCACCACAGTTACTGGGTAGTATTATACCTGAAACTTGTTGGGCATTATTTAAGGCGTTAAAAAAGGAATACATGAAGGTATGTTATTTTTATTATTTATAAATCGTTTATAACTTACATTTATTACACTCTATTATTAAATGAAATAAATTCAGAAAGTTCGTTCGCGTTAGGGGCTGTGATCATTCCATTCAAAGACGAACGTTCCGCGAGTTGACTATTCTTCTCCACTTGTGTGGAAGATATTGGTGCTGGCGTGTATTGAGTTGGCTGTGTGTAAGTTTGTGTAATTTGTGCCGTGTATGGCGGTACTGGTGTACACAACCCTGAAAACTGTGTGTGCGTTGGCCGAGGAACTAAACTTGCTTCATATTGTTGTTGTTGATGAGGATAATATGGGTCATGGTGGTACACCGCTGTTTGTGGAATGTTAGCAGGAATGCTAATAGAGCAATTTTCTGCCAACCTCTTCAATTTTCCGAAATACAGAACGTCTGAAATGAGTTTCTGTGCAATAGTCCGTTGGTGTGGTTCCATATTTTCCAAGTCACACGCAACGCTTTTTCCAAATGGTTCATAACGGAGAGTTGTTGGTGGTACAACTGCAAGTGCGGTGCTTGCTACATCCAAAAATTTCGCTTTCTTTTGTGACAATGTACTATCTTTGGTTGTTAACTTCTTATTCTTCTCTCTAGGTCGACACTGCTGAGAGGAGCAGGTACTTGTCGGAGTTAAAGGGGACTGTACTGTATCCTCCTGAAATAAAATAATATTATGTTATAAGTTTTATAAACAGCCAAATAACACAAAATATTTTTTGCAGTTTCCATCAAGCGAAGCGGAATGGTTGGAAATATCCGATGACTTTAATACTTCATGGAATTTTGAACACTGTTTAGGTGCGATGGATGGAAAACACATCGCAATAAAAAAACCACCAAACAGTGGATCATTTTATTATAATTATAAAGGCTTTTATAGCACCGTTTTATTTGCGGTCGTCAATGCTAATTATGAATTCATGTATGTGTATACTGGAATTAATGGCAGAATTTCAGACGGAGGTGTTCTGCAAGAAACTGACTTTTACGAAAAACTTGAAAACCACACTTTAAATATACCTTTACCGAGCAGTCTCGATAAAGCAGCAGTTAAATTGCCTTATGTTTTTATTGGCGACGATGCTTTCAGTTTGACCGAAAATGTAATGAAGCCTTATTCTTTGACTGGCATTACTCATGATGCAAAAATTTTTAATTATCGTTTATGCAGAGCGAGAAGAGTGGTTGAAAATGTGTTTGGAATATTGGCAACTCGCTTCAGAATATTATTGAGCACAATTACATTGAATAATTTAGAAAAGATTGATGCGGTAGTATTAGCATGTTGCATCCTTCACAACTTCTTAAGAAGAAATTGTTCTAATTATATGAATACTCGTAGTATTGATACAGTCAACAGTGACGGTGACTGGCGCGAAGAGCTTCGTCAACTACAAAACTTACAAAACAGAAGGACTTATTACAATGAAATGGCTAAGAATGTTAGAAATGCCTTTAAAGATTATTACAACCATGAAGGAAAGATACAATTTCAAGACAACATGATTAACTGAAATTATCTTTATCACTTTTTGTTAAGCGTTTTGTTGTTTATTCCTGTAATCTTCTGCTTTGTATCATTGTATTATAATACATAATAAAATAAGTAAAATTGCAACTTACGCTTATAAATTCACTGTAACTGCAGTCGTCGTCGGTGTAACTGCAGTCGTATTCCTCAATTGCCAATGAAGATGTTCCAGGCCGGACCTCTTCATTGTCTTGCGTAAACAAAAGCAAGTCAAAATACCATAAAGTAGGCTCGTATATGTTATCGGCAGATGATCCAGTTCGTTTGCTTTTCCTCATTTCTCTTAATTCCCGTCGGAAACCAGCACGCAAGGAATCAATTTTCTTTCTCACATACTGTACATTAGCCTCTGGACATATTTCTTTGCATTTAATAACTAATGCCTCATACGCGTCATTTCTTTTTTGTTTGTTTACGTACTCTTTGCTTTTTACGTTCCAGAGACAAGGATACGTTTTATACAATGAAATAAAGCTTTCCCAAAATTGTTTGTTATCACGGAAAGACATATTTAACCTTAAAAAGCGCACCGTCTGTCAAACAAATCCTCTGCGTACGTATTCACGCGTGGTTATGCTCGGCTCGCTGTCGCTGCTCGTTGTTCTACACAACGTACGGCGAGCAAGACATATACGGCGAGCGCGTGGATATACACATGCGGACTTGTACGACGGACAAATTCGATAGACAGATTCGACGAACAAACTCACGTGTGAATAGGCCCCTTTACGTTCTGTGAACATCCCGCGTAAATCGAAATCGCGTAAATTGAAGCATTGAATTATATGTAATTAGGGGGGTTTGGTTCTAACGACTAAGAAATTATCGACTTTTAAAGTATGTACATATTTTTATGATAAATAAACATTATATTATAATATTAAATAAAATAAACAATACAAAACAAATAATATTTATACATATTACAGTTAAAAAAAGGAACTGATATTTTTGTCTGATAGAGAACTAATAAAAAAAATCAACTTATTTCTTTGATAAAAAGTCTGTGATTTTTGATTGCTTTGTTTCATTTTGAAGCCTCTGCTGTAAACTTTTATAAGGTGCCAAGGCATTAAGTATCTCACGTTGTGCCTTTAAGCTACGCGGAGTAAGATCGTTTTCTATCAAAAAATCTGTTAATTCTTCTCCCATCTTTAAACATTGATTAACAGTTTTGAGACTTAACTCAGCTGGGAGTGTGTTTTCCTTATTATCGTCACTATCGCTTGATTCTTGATTATTGTTAGCTACTAAATCTCCTAGCTCTTCTTCTGTTAGTTCAGAATTATGAGATTCGAGTAGCTCTTCAATATCTGACAACTGGAGGTCACTAAATCCAACTCCCAGTAACAACCGGCCTAATGTTACTGTAGCCTGGATGTCATTAGTATGTAAATTGACATCGTTGTCATTGCCCTTCTCCGATGTGACAACAGTTGGCCAGATTTTTCTCCAGCAACCATTCAATGTAGATTTTTTCAATTCACGACGGGACTCTTCGATGTTGTCTATGCAATTACCAATGTTGTAATTTTTCCAACATTGTGTTAAAGTTAGCTTCGAGTCACTTTCCAAACTATCTAATAACTTCTTAAAAGTTATTCTGGTATAATATGCTTTAAATGCAGCTATAATACCTTGATCTAAAGGCTGAATAAGGGAGGTTGTATTAGGAGGCAAAAACTCAATCTTGACATTTTCATTTAAGCTTTGTAGTCGGTTAGCAGGGTGACCGGGAGCATTATCTATCAACAACAAAACTTTAAATGAAATATTGTTCCTTTTTAAATAATTCTCTACTTCTGGTATAAAACAATTTTGTAACCAATCTACAAAAATGTCTCCAGTGACCCAAGCACGACTATTCGACCTCCAAAATACAGGTAATTTTCGTTTATCTTTATTTTTTAATGCTCTAGGATTTAATGATTTATAAACCAATAACGGTTTTGTAATAAAATCTCCAGATGCATTTGAACAAAGCAGCAGAGTAAGACGATCTTTAGCCATCTTAAAGCCAGGGGCGCTTCTTTCATTTTTTGATATGAATGTTCTTGAAGGCATTTTTTTCCAAAAGAGACCAGTCTCATCAGCATTGAATACTTGTTGTGGGAGACAACAACCGTCTTCAATTATCCTCATTAGACGGTCTGGATATAGTTTTGCTGCTTCGTGATCGGCTGAAGCAGACTCTCCCATCAATTTCAAACTATGAAGGCTGTGCCGATTTTTAAATTTGTCGAACCATCCCTCTTATCGTATAGTTTTGTAGCTTTCTCTCTAATTATAACAGAGCTTAGAGCTACTCTTTTTTGAGTTTGATCCTCAATCCACAAAGCTAACGCGTTTTCCACCTTTTTTATAGGTCCTTTTCTGGAATACGTAACAAATTTTGAAGATTCACGGACTGAGGATTCGATAATTTTTCGAATTTTTTCTTTATTTTGGCGAATAGTTCGTATAGAAGATTCGTTAACGCTATTTTTTCTGGCCACTTCTGCTACAGTCATTTTTTTGAAAGCAACCGCGTAAAAGTGAATCGACCACCGCGTAAATTAAGCTTTGGTGTCCAATTCTTAACCGCGTTAAAGCGAATCCGCGTATAAAAATACCACGTAAAATGAGGGACTACTGTAATCCTAAAAGTTCTTCTTTAGGGCCTGAATGAGACATAAATCTTACAAAAAGTGAAACTTGCTCTGTATCATTTATGTCACAAGACTCGTCAACTGCTATTAATAAAGCCGAAACCAATTTCAGATATGCTGGGTGGTTATATTCGAACACATTTTAATTGTTCTATCTTTAATGGTTTTGGCAGACAATGGTAACTCTTCAATTCTTTTCAGAATATCTGCTTTGTTCTTAAAATCCCGAAATAGCTCTTCGGATGCATTTATAAAACAATTTTTTATGTATTCGCCGTCTATGTACGGTTTCCCTCTCTTCGCAATCTCTTGGCTAACAACAAAACTTGCCATATTAATATTGCTGGAAGATTGCATCCAGTTATTAAACACAGAAGTTGACGACTCTTGACTATTCTGAAGTTCCTCAACTGCTTTCTTCCTTGCATCACCGGTAGGATGTTTAGTGCTAAATGACGCGTGCTTTCTTGTAAAGTGTCTCTCTATATTTGACTTCTTGTTATGCGCGAATTTCTCCTTACAAATAAGGCATGCCGGAAGTCCATTCAAGTTTTGAATAAACGTAAAATTCTCGGTCCGGTCAACTTTAAATTCGCGGTTTTCATCTTCCGTTTTTCTTTGCTTTTTTTTGGTAGCCATGTTAATTGGGGTGTTTTTATGCTGAGCATTATTGCTATTTGTTGCTAACATAAATATATTTCATGGTACCTATAAAGCGTTTATTAAGCTTTGCATTATTGCCAAATATAACCAATTATTTTAATTATTACAGTTCGCAAAATTCTTGATATTCTATAAATTATAACTTATCTTATTATCTTAGCTTTATATTTTTTAACTTTATGAGTTAATTTTCGTATGTTGTCTAAAAACAAAAGTCGAGATAAAAGTTTATAATGTATATTTAAATATTACAACTTTAGATTTATGTCAATAAATCTAAAGTCATTCTTCATTATATTTAACAATATATGAATTTTTGACGATATATTTTTGGATTTAAAATTGAGGACCTTCCGGTAGAAAGGGGCTAAGTACCAAAACTCACTATTAAGGTTATTAAAGAAATTAGCTTTGATTTTTAATATTTTTAAGATCAAAAATAGTAGGAACCACAAAAATTTGTTTAAACCGCCTTTATTACTTATATCGACATACAAACATTTCATATATAAAAATATATTATTGTGTTATTGTATATTTCAATCTAAAGATAGTAACTGCCTGTAAAATTGTTTATGATTTTCGTTTTGCAGATAACCGATCATAGATTTTAAACTTTTTTTCTTATTATCTGATATCTTATTTGTAGATGGAAGCCCGTCTAAAATGGCATTCTTAATATCTAAAATGGTTTTGTGTTTTTTTAGTACATTGAATCCTTTCCAGTTTTCTAATTCTGAATGGGTTTGCTTTACTTCTATTATTGCAGGGTTACCGGAATGTACTCTGATCTCACTCAGCTTACTAATTTGTAAATTTTTAGTATCAAGCAAATGGTCAGCAGTTTTTTTAAGATCAAGAAATACGTGCTCTTCCATATCTATTATTTGAAACGGAGGATTGTATTTCGCTGTTTTAATAATATCGTGTAGATCTTTAGGGACCATGGGTTGCGAGAGTCTTTTCCTTTTTTCAATCAGACCAAAGTCGCGGTCACACTGCATGAAACTGTGACCACTGACTAAGAATTTATGCTCTATCACATTAAACACTTTGTGAGTCACCAGGAAGATATACAATAATATTAAAATTTTGTTTTTATTTTGTCCTGCACAGTTGTCAGTCCAAATTCGTAGTTCATTTTTAGTAACAGCGTCTTCTTTATTTAACAGGCTTAAAAGGCAAGATGCAATTTCGTTACTACCCCTTCCTGCAACCCCTTCATGCCAAGTGCACATGAATGATCGATTAATGTCACTCACATAAATTCCAAGATTGTAACAGCTAAGCTGACTGAGGTAAAACATGTCGCTATGCGTTAAACTTGGCACAAACAGAACCTAAAACGAAATACAGAAGACATAAATTTATTGTAATTTCTTAACATAAAACGTGACTTACTTGTTGTAAGTCCATTACCACACAGGAAAAAGAACTACCAGGTAACTTCGAATTAGCTAAGTCCTGCCTCATCTTCTGAGAAGCCGCTTCAACTTTACGATGATGCAGTTCAAGTTTAACTTTTGCATTATTGCTTGAAACTGTTGCTGCTTTTACTTCACAGTTAAGATGATCACAAACGCGACAAGTATCAGTTCTGGGGAGATGAAATTTCAAGTTTGGAAATTTGTTTTTAAATACAGATCTATAATAAGCCATAGTTATTTTAGTTTCTGGATGTTGAAGCCGAAATGCATCATACAGTCGTCTAATATTAAGATCTGGGCTTAAATATTCAAGAGAACTTTTTTTTCTGCAATAATGACTTTCCTGCCTTGGTACTGAACGAATGTGTGTTTTAATCATTTCTGTATCCTGCTCATTAAACTTTTTAGGTTTATTAGAAGTTCGTTTATCAGTATAAGTTGTGTGTCCTAGTCTTTTCTTTTTAATTAAACATTCCAACCTTTTTTTAGTTACTGAGAATATGTTCATAAATGTAGTCTTACAAATCCTGATCATTTCTCCTTTTGCATTCGAAACAGTATAATGCACTGTATGTTGACGACGGCTATCACTGGAATCCTCGTATAACCCATTTCTACGTCTACTTACTGGTGCAAGATGTATAAGAGTCATAAGGTATGTACCCTGTACGGTTGTATTTTGCTTATAAAATTCTTCATTTAGATGTCTCATTCTCTCCGGACATAATGTTTTACAATCAAAGTAACATTTACATGTTACCTACAACCAACAAAATAAACGTTATTACATTCATTTGCGAGCATGCTGTATGAAACCTAACCTCATTTTGCGGTGGAACTTTAGCAGGCTTTTGAACTCCTTTATAAGTCACATAACTTTTCCCTGAATCTTTTCTTGTTTTATTTTCATCTCTACATCTGCCACTACCTCGTTTTCGTTTATTTTCTCGTTCGGACTCCATAACTTTAGACACTGTTAACTGGCACACTGGCACTTTGCCCCTTTCAACCTAAACTCGTATAGGCACTTACTGTGGCGACATCTTTCATTAAGTATTTGTACCTCTAAAATTCTGTGTTGGTACTTAGCTCTTTTCTTTATAATAAAAGGTGGTATATAGAACCTATTTGTGACATTTGTGCCCCTTTCTACCGGAAGGTCCTCAATTATAAAAAAAACGTTTCAATGAATATATAAAATAAGCAGTAATCGGTAAGAATAATACTTTTTGAGCTGGAATTTAATATGGTAGCCGGTGACAAATTTATTTGTTCTAAAAGAAAAATATTATTTTTAATTTTATAATCAATTAAAAATAATTACTAATGTAAATGAACAATCAAATAATGTAATAATAAAGAAATAATAAATACTCATCAATAAAATAAGGCGTGGATTTCCAGATTCTATGACTTTAACAAATTTCCAAGCTCTATCGAAGCTTCATTGCCTATTATTCAGAATTAGAATTGTTTAACATTCTGGTATCAAGATCCCCTTCATCCACTACATATAATTTGATAATATGTTTGTACGATGCCATGTACTTCACACCACCACTTTCAAGCATGACATCGTACTTCATCAAATTATTCCTTAGTCCTTTTAAGAGATGAGGGGATCGTACAAGATGACTATGTCCTGATCATCAACCATATAACCAGAACCTGCATATTCCTTCCCTAGCCGTAAAAATGTGGCACGTGTTTCTTCGGTCAACATTTTTAGAGCCATGCTGTTTGTCGAGAGCTGATCACAAACAGTGGCTATGATCTTCAGACCTATACTATTGCATATTACAATATTCTCTCTTATGTTGTCTCGTAGGACAGTGGCTGACATGCCATATTCGGTGAAATAAAATGCGATGGACTGTTTGCATTTTTTCGTAATGCCTCTCACCATGAATACCATGGCATAGTCCGCAAATTGAGGAGATCGTCCCCGGCCGCAATCCACCCAACAAAATATTTGCAAAATATATTTGCCTCAATCATGTCCAACATGGAATCATATGTCAAGCCAGGTTGTAACGACATTTCATCAAAGATGAGACAACAATATCTATCTTATTGTTTCATCTTCTTCACCTCTTCTTATAAAGCATCCATTAATTATAGATTTATACCTATTCCAATTGGAACCTGACTCAACAAATTCATGAGCGTCCTCCTACTCGGCAAAGCAAACAACGTTCGCAGTAAGCGGTATGCTCTTGGGCTGCTTTTGAATATTGTTAACCAAAATATTTTGTTTTGCAACGTAAAGCGTCGCCCTTGCTTCTTTTTCGGTTGCTCTCGTAATTGACTCACAATAATGTTGAATGTTGTGGCATTCACTGTTTTTTTAATACATTTTCGGCAATTTCAAATTTTTTTGTTTTCGTCATTTTCGATTTATCCATTTTTTTTATATCTGCCTGCTGTCCGCTTATACTTGACCGCCAGCTTGTACACCCTCCTTGTCTCCATACTTAAATGAGCAGTTCTTATGCTGACTGGTTTTAAGAGGCAACAGTCTGGATTTCATTATGGTTATCTTGCAAATTTATGACAGTCGAAGAATATGATAAGTCTGTTAGTGATGTTATGATATGAATAATAAATGTTACAAATAGAATGTTTGTTATTATTAGATCCAAGTGTGTTATTAATTTCAAAATCATCGATATAAATTATGCATATATGTTAATACAGTTTTATTCGGATACATTTTTAACTCTCGTTATTTACAATGGTA